CTCCTCCCAACACAGACTCCTCAATAAGCAGCTCTTACAGAGAAATTTTCACCATTTTAATTCGTAAGCTCTCACAATAATGTCTCTGAGAGAATCAGATCTATTTGTTACAGATGAGAGTGGAGTGGCTCGGAGGATCATGGGTACCATCTCTCCCAAATCAGGGAAAGAAAGAGCAATCAGCAAAGCTTCAGATGGCATCCAACAGATTTGAGCTCCTTTCTTCAAGCACCGTTATTGTGGCGCTCCCACACACTGGTGATGTGTTGCACGCATTTCTGATAATTTAAATATGTCACAGATGGACAAGAACGCGTCTAATTGAGAAACATATGCATCACACTTACAGGGAATAATAATTCCAACATGTGTGTTCGTTTCCATTCGGTTCTCATCGTTCACTCACCGCGAGTTGCAGGAGACCGATGGTGGCATTTTCCTATACAGTTTGTGAAATTATGCAGATGATGACACCGTGCTCCTTTTGTTTACCGTTACCGGGTCGGAGCGTTCAGGAGCGTTATTTTTCAACCTCACTCTACGGCTTCCTCTCCTCAACCTCCCGTCTTTCTCTCTCAGGGAGTCCTTCCTGCTTCGGCATTGGAGGAACGTCCTCGGCATTATGAGAAGCCATTAATGAGTGTTTGGCGTGGCATGTTGTGATGCGCGGCATATTACAGCCATTCATCAGAGTCAGGAGACACTTGACAGGCGGACAGCCAACAGGTTGTGTAATCATATAACACAGCCATGTCAGGCCTGCCACGGCTCCGTGTCCCATTCAGGCCTCTAATGTTGTTTTCCTCTGGGTAATTGACAATGCCAGACATAGAGACCCAGTGATGGATAACATAATGGACCCACTGGCACACAAAGATGGCGGCCGACTAGAATGATGTCATCTTCAAATATACAAGCATTTAGAAATATTCAGGATTTGTTATGACTCAGTCGTTTTGTCTTTTTTTAGGTAACATTTATTAGCTCACATTAACCCTTGTATTATTCTAGTTCAGGGTATTTGTTTTTCAACAAAGTAGCTTTAAAAAACAATTACTTCTGCCACTCAATCAGTAGAATATTACATTATATGTTTTTGCCATTTTTTGTCTTTATATCAACCACACTTACTGTAATATATATATATATATATGTATATATATATATATATAATTTTTTTTTTTTTTTTTTTCCATTTGGCTATCCCATCATTGTGGGTTTGCTTTTCTGGAACAAAGTTTGGCTTGTTGATGGTGCATGTTACACTCCAAATGCTCCCTTTTATCCCCGACCCTGTTTGTGGTTTTTCCAGACAGAAACTTTATGTATAGTTATGGGAAAAGATTAAACCACAGGGTATCATCCTTCTTTTGTAGACAATGCAGTTCTGTTTTATTCAACACACGCTGGAACCGTTCATGAGTCCGAATGAGAGTCAGCTCCTCTAAATCTGATGCCATAGATTCATAGATAGTAAAAAAGTGGGTTGCTCCCTGCAAGGCAAGGGTCTGCTCAAGCAAAACAGTTCATGTCTTGCTTAAAGATTACAGTAGGATTGTGGAGAAGATGGATAGATGGGTTTGGGCTCCTCCAGTCTGTCATAATGCAGAAAAAGCAAAGCCAAGAAGTGAAGCTCTTGATTTAGGTTTTACCGAGAATGAGCTGGAGAGTGCTGTTACCCCTCTGACAAGATCTTGGATAATCAGGTGACAATGGATGAGTGAATCAATGGCAAACCATACATGCAAAAGAACAGATAGACGGAAGGATGAACTTCCGAACGACAGATAACCGTTTCTGCCAGTGAGAAAAGTGTTTGTTCAGCCAGCTAACCGGCTGTGCTCAGCAACAGGTGCAGGACATTCCATAAAGTCGACACTTTCCCCAGTCCACCACCTTTTGTGGCATCCCATAAAAACACCTCTACTCATATGAATGGTATACGTTTTTATTTTATTTCTTTTTACCTCGACTATAAATCTTTGGAAATCTTCATGCCGGTAACGCTCTCCTGTGCAATGATGGACAACTCCACTTCCGTGAGAAAAAGAAAAAAGTTTTCATGTTGAAAGGGCTCATTGCATCGTTCCAGTCTTCAACCAATTCTGTCCGTTCTTGGTGGGATTCATATCAGTACTTTGGCAGAGACTCTGAATGTGACTCTGTTCCTGTCTCGTGTTGCCCAAGGCCAGGTTTTCTTTGCAGATGGAATCCGCTCCTCCTTTCAAAGACGTTTCCAAGGTTGTTGTGTATTTTAATATTCGTGGTACCATCATGCCAGGGAAGTATTGCCAGTCTAATCTCTGTGGAAGCAGAACAGGACGGACACGCTTTTCCAATGAAGGATGTCAAGCATGGGCAAGAAGAATACTTTTTGAGATCATGTGGGATGAATATAAAAGTTGCTTAAGAAGAAAGGAGCTAAACAAAAAGGAATGCCATTCTCATGGTCAAGCCAACAGCTGGAAACAATATGCTTTTACCAGATTTATATATTAAAAAAAATATATCAGAGAAAACTACAATAAGATTCAAGATGAAAATGTCAGGGTTAGTCTGAGACAAAGCCTGGCCTTGGACAGAACTAAACCATCATCTCTAACACAGTATATTATTATTATTATTTGTCTCCTAATTACTGCAGTAGTCATAAATTATCCCTAACCTATTATGAATGCATCACATTTTTTGAATAAATCTTTGAGAGAAATTGATTTGAGTTTATGCAATAATTATGCACACGGCTGTGTAAAAAAAAAAAAAAAGTCAAAGCAAGACTTTAGCAGCTTCAGAGTTCTGCAGAGACAACACAATGCAGAGAAACGTTTAGTTCTTAACTAGACAACTGCATCAAAGAAGCAGGGGTGACCTCAAGGCAGGGTGAGACATTGTTAAAAAAGGAAAGTATCCTCACACAACCTGTTCTGCTCTGTCCCTAAGCTGGAAAGGAAAAGACAATGTTCTTTCTCATCCTCCCACTCCACACAGCTTTTTTACCTCTGGTTGTTTGTGAGAAATCCTTTGCAGCACACAATCTCTCCCCCCTCACCTACCAAAAAAGGCCGATTTATAAAAGTGAAAAATGGGCTGCTAGATGAAAACCAGAATGAATCCAGCAGGGATAAAAATACACATCCTTGCCTTTTGAACATTGTCGCTGTTTCCCGAAGGTGGAGATAGGACACCTAAGGGAATCATATGTTTGATCATGCTAACATTTTAAAACACTTGTCTTCATTTATGTCTGGATCTGGGTGACTGTCAGAAAAATAATGAGAGCACAATAATTGACAGGTGTTTATGTGAACAGGCCATCAGATTAGCTTAAACAAGGCCTGCTTACTATTAATCAGAAATAATCCAAACTTCATTGATTACAAAAACTGTTTGGTTTCAAGAGCGGCTATATTTTAGTCTAGTTTGGCTAATGAAGTTAATGTTATAAATATTAAGAGAATTCAGTCTGATGACAAGTGAAAAGTCTGGAAATTAGGATCCCGGTCAAATAATTTTTAAACGATTGGCACTCTCTTGTCTCTTTCACCAAACATTTCCCTCATAAACTCAAAAAGACGATCTGCCTCAGAGCTACCTCTGGCCTGTCGCAAATCACAAGAGGTGGCAGCGATAGCCTGCGCAGCTGTGGGCTTTCAGAAATGACGCCGGCAGTGCAGGACAGGAGACGTGGTGCAGCGTGGGTGTTAGCACATTAAACCTTTGCCTCTCCGTATCGTTCTTTTCACAACAATAAAACACATTTTTTTTTGCCCAATAGCTGCAATTTTATGTTGGTCGCAGCTCAAGTAAGCCTTGCAGTCGCATTTGAGAAGATGATTTGTTCTGATCTGTTTGTGTGTCCTTGGCTTTCAGAACTGTACTTAGGCCATGCAGGCAGTTTTAGAGAGCTAATAAATTTAGGTTTCCCTAATGATCGTGTTTTATTTTATTCTGTCTGTCGCTGAAAAAATATGAATAAATGAGACTGCAATGTCCGGAACGTCACAGATGAGTGACAGCACTAATGTAGAACAGTACTACTAAAATGTAGTGAGTTATTCTACTGCAATCTGTGGTAAAGTTTTGATGCTACTACTCAGATTGGAACTCTGTATCTGCAAATGCCTGATTTTAGACTACTCAGATCGTTATCTGAAAAAAAAAAAAAAAAAAAAACTAAGAGTGAAACATCCCTAATGAATCATTTGATGTAACATTTTGCAGCTCTTTTATGTGCTTCACTGAAAATGAATTATCTGGCTGTGTATTTGCCAGCCTGGTCCTTCCTTATCTCAGATTTGTTTACATCATTGGTATTTGCTCATACACACACATACTCTGTATGATTGTGGGGGGCATATGTTCTCCCAACTGTGTCTCGGGAATTAAGCTAGATTACCTGGCACCTTTATCTATTATCTTCGTCATCCTTTTTTTTTAAACACCTGAGAGCAATAACAAAAGAATAAGGACAAATAAAAAAGTACAGCTGCAGCTATTTTGCAAAGTTGGCACTACAACTTTGCCAACTTAAAACAAAAACTGTTTTATTCTAGGAAAATTAAGCAAAGTTATCATCGGGACCTACATTAACATAAAACATTATGTAGCCTGAGACTAAAAAAACTGTCACATGAATCTGACAGCCACAATAGTTTGGATTTATTTTCTTTCCCATATCTGGACAAAGTGGAAAGAAACTCTGAATCATTCCATCATGTTTCAGTTGATTTTTCCAAGTATTGACACTGGCCACAGGATTCTCAGTAGGGTCTGGCTGAATTTCTTTCCCTGCAGAGCCAAACAGGATCCTGCCCAGCTCCTCATAAACAGCAGCTGCAGTCTGCTGCTCAGTTTCCAGTTCCCCCAAAGCCACCAGCACTGGACGGCCCAATCAAAACCAGCACCCGGCGCTCCCTCGCTCTGCTTTCACAGAGTGCGCGACTGAAACAAGAAACGTCCCACAATCAAAGATCCGCGGAATAAAAGAAATATCCTTTTACCTGCGTGACCTCAGAGGCGCTCGTGCTGCAGCTGGCACCCGCCTCCCTCCCCCGCCCCGCCCTTCATGTATTCCTCCCGCGCGGTCCGATGCTGACCTCTCCTTAAGAGGAGATCTGAGAGAAGAGGAAGACAGAGGAGAAGGTTGTTAAATTTCCCCTTAATGGAATGCCGGGGAGAACCTGGTTCAGACAGAGGACAAATGTATCACAGAGAAACACACCACGGTGTTGAAAAATGTATGCAGGAAGCCATGAGGGAGTTTGCTATACTGCCCCATTTACTCTACCTCCTAACCCTGCTGGAGAGTCAATGAACCAAAGAACAACTGCACCACCAATCACACGCCCTGTGCAGCCTATATACTGCAGCAAACCTGTCCCAACACCCCAATCCCCCCACCCCCAAAGCACAGGAACAACGTCCTTCCCAAAGGTTATCTGCTTGGTCAGCCCCTCATCCTGAGTCCATTACACACACAGAGTGGTGAGATTCCCTGCCTTAATACACCCCTCTTAGTCTCTTCTCACTGCTTCACTGCCTCCTTTAACTCCTCATACAAATCCAGCATAGGCCAACAACACCCACCCATACCGGTTTTTGGGATTAGCCAATCAGAGCATTTTCTGTGTATCTCAGCGTTGCTGTAAAAACGACAGCATTTGACTTGATTATTACACATCTACTTCATTTGTTTAACTTCAAGTCCCAAGAATAAATGCACAATAAATAAAATACAAGTTATCCAAGAAGATGAGGAGAAGAGGAAGGTGATGGTTTGTACAGGTGTATTCAAATAAAACAGTCTGAATATATGTCCAACTGGAATCATTTGTTAGGTTAAAAGCACATTCTGAAAATAACCTTTAAGCAGGTATTAAATATACTTTTCATTAAGCCCAATAAATGTCTTTTTTTTTGTTCTAATCCTAAATGCCATGTTTTCATTAGTGTAAGCAGACAATCTCCATAATTAACAGAAGTAAAGGCTATAAAACACAAGTCTGTGTGTAATTAAACTACATAATTTGTTTCACTTAGTAAATTGACTTAATGAAAATAATGAACTTTAAATAATATTCAAATTTCCTAAATGGGTCTGTGAGAAAGACATTTTTTTTTTTTCTTGAGGTTGACTCTTGCTCCATCCTGCAAATCAATTCTAAATCAGGCCAAAATCACACTAAGCAGATGTATATGTTGCACTGACTGACAATACTTGGTAACAAAAAAAATTATTTTGGGTGTCTAGTGAAATAACTAAGCTATGGCGAAAAACAAGATGCAAATTAACTTCACCATACCACAACTATAAATGCTGCTGAAGTTATCATCCACTTCACAGCTTCCCATTGGTGATAAAATCAAGGGCAATTCAGCTGCTTTTTAAGAAATCTGGAATATATGTAATCATTTCTGGCCCAATATCTAAAATCTGTTGGTCATATCTGTAAAAATAATGAAATCACTGGCACATTTGTTGGCTACTATACTCCAAGTGTTATAAATTCATGCTTTTCTTTAGAAAACAAGTCCAACCAATTTCTAATTATGTAAAATAAACAACAAATCAAAATCACATGAATAGAACGCAATCGCATAGACGGGTTAGATTTCATGGCCCAGTCTAATCTGATCCGAAATGTGTGTAATTTAGATTATAGAGCCATTATGGTAAGAGTTGTGTATGTAAGACAATCCGGCCACCAATCCTTCCTCCTCAGGAACCAAGTGGAGACGTTAAAATCCGCAAACATTTCACAATCTACACTGTGCATGTAGGCAATATTTGTGTTTAATGCAGAAGCTGTCAGATAAATTAGGTAGGTCTGTATGGTTGAGAGAAATTTATGAATACAATATTATAAATGAAACGGATTATAATTAATAGACTTTTTAAAAAAACAAAAAGCTCCACAAAGCTAAACCAAGTTAGAAATTGGTGTTTTGTCTTGTTATTAGGCTAACAAGACAAAATATTCCTTCACGTTCTGAAGGTTATAGCAACTGACAGAAACAAGTCCCGCAGGAGGATGCAACATTCGTCTTTCTGTTTCACCTACAACGTAGGAAACAAACTTTCTTTTGCTCAGCCTGACTTCTTATCAGAGTTTCCAGCACTGAACTATAAAAAAACAAAAGAAAAAAAGTTAATAATTTGTCTAACTGAACCCGGTGGAAGACATCAAGAAGGCTAGAAATAAGCTTTTAAGCCACGATTCTGTGAAACGCACAGATAAAACGATCAAAAGTGATGTAAATTGCTTTGTTCTTGGAACTATATCTCTCACTCATCTGCTGATATTCGGAAAACAACAAAGATATTGTTTAGAAGAAAGGAGCATGCGGAGAAAACCGAGCACCCCCTCAGCACAACACAACACCTGCTCGCTCATTTAATCCACGAGAAGAAGAAGGCAACACACTGAAGAACATAATGTGGGAAGAGGGGGTTGACTTTGGACGGAGGCCAAGAAACCAAGAGGACAGGGTGGGGGTGGAGGGGGAGAGGAGGAGAAAACCATAAATACGCAGGGAGGCGAGCAGGTGTTGCAGACAAATGTGATTTACAGCTTCTAAGTCTCATACACTGCTGACAGGTAAGCCTATTAGGTTGATATTACACAGCTATAACACACACACCGGCGGACCCTTTTAAAAGCATTTGTGTACTCGGTGTGCAAGGGTGACCTGTTAAAGGGAGATTAAATTGAGTTGTTAAGGCAGCCGTATGTTAACTTCCTTATTGTTTTGTTTTGTTTTTTCCTTTTTATTTCAGATTATCTTAGTCGGTAGCAGTGAAACATGATCCCGTTTTATTACAGGTCAGATAGAATTGAAGGTCAAAAGAAGAGTAAATGAATGTTTTGTTCTCACACTCTAAAAGTCTTTTAAAAAGCAAACAGAGAGCTGAATGCCTCGACTGCGACCCCTTTTTTTTTTTTTTTTTTTTTTTTTTTTTTTTTTTGCATATTGGAAACTGCCAGGGAGCAATCACCCCGGAATGCAAACATTTATGAGAAACTAAATGCGCTAGAACACCGAGATTCGCAATCGAATTTCTCTTGTAATGCTGCATGAGAGACAACCAGACTAGAGGAAAATTGCTACCACTTGAGCAGCTCGCTTACAGATGGTGTTGAGAGCAACACGGCACAAAGCAATACGTTCCTTAATAACGTGGTGAATGTCGCAGTGAAAGGCTCCGCGGTAGCTTCTGCATACTCAAGCTCTTTTTTTTTTTTTTCACTTCACCCCTCCTGTCAGAAGTGCAAACTCTTTCATCCTGGATATAAGAGTCTGCAGTAAGAAATCCTCAAAGAGACTAATCGTGTTAAATGAGGTTTGTGTCTGTAGCCGTGACTTCTGAGCCTGTGTGCAGCAACGTCGGCTGGGGGTTGTAACGGAGACTACAATTTTTCGTCACCCCTTAAAATCTGAGCTAACTCTCTGCAAAAGCCAGGAGATCTCCATTTTACGACGCCCGATTGGGTTTTAACACTTGACCAGGGCTGGGTGAGATTAACAAAATTTTCTGTGTGCAAAGTCTTTATAGTGATGCGTACGATAAAGCCAAAGTTTGTCTGGAGAAAAGCCCTTAACGCTGTGACGTTTACTTTAGCTTCCTGCGGGGGACCCTCCTCTCCAGTGGCTACTCATTGACAAGCTCACTAATGTGTGCACATGTGTACATAAACACACCTTATCATCCGGGGCTGAGGAAGCAGGAGGGCTATAAAGGCCGACCTCATCTCCTTAAAAACAGGCCGCACTGTCCCTGGGTGTCTTAACACAACTCATCAACTGTTAAACCAGAGAGAGAAAGGCCGAGCAGTAAAAATCAATGCCCCCAGCACAGCAAACGCCCATCAATTATGCTAGGTGGAGGAGGAAGGAGCAAGAATTTGCAATAGACAAGAAGCAAACAGAAGGAAAAGGAGGAAGGCGAGGATAAAGTCCATGTTAAGTTAAAAGCAACGGGCGAGTACGCTGCCCAGGATTGATTACCTTTATGCAAATAAAAGAACGTGGCAACCGGAGAATGCAATTTTCAGCAGCAGCAGCAGCAGCAGCAGCAGCAGCAGCAGCAGAGGCTTTGAAATCGATCGAAGCCAAGAGAGAAGCCATTTTCCTCCAGCCAAGATAAAACCCTTTGCTATGAGCTGTCAGATACTTATCAGGAGGAAATTAGCAAAGGAATGTCATTTTCCCCAAACAAGCAGGTCAAGTGTTTCTCCCAGTATTTCACGTCCTTCACTCACACCCAAAATTATTCGTTCTCTCCTGCGTGACGATGATTCGTGAAGAAAACGTTTGAGCATAGCATTCATATTCCACAAGCTTTAAGGTGGTGCTTTATTGTGAAATGGCCAGAAATGAATGCCGTTTTTAATATTTTGTAAAAAAAAAAAAAAAAAAAAAAAAAAAATCTAAATCAAATGGCACGCACAGGTGTTTAGACACCTTTAGTCGAATAAACCTGAACACAACCCAGTGCAGCCGACTGCCTTCAGGCTTTTCCCAAACTTTGAACTTCTCATGGAGAAATGTTTAGTCTGACATGTAAAGAGAGAAAGAAGATAAGGAAAGACGGGTGTTATCCATCTAATACGACTTACACTGAGTTGTTTTTAAAATAAAAAATTCAGCAAAGCTGGTAGAGACGCACAGGAAAACACAAAAGGTTGTGTTGGACTAGCTCACAAAATCCTAAAAAATCAAGACTGTGTTTGTAAAGCAAAAAAAAATAAAAAATACTTTTCTGAGGCACTGTAATAAAGAGCACAGGCATCCCATATGGCGTGAGCAGCAACAACTTGCTGTTTGAAACATAGAGGATGAGGTCTCTCTTTCGCCTTGGCTCCAGGGATTGACCCCGCAGCCTCCCAGCACCCGCACGTATGCACTGACGCAAGTCTGTCCTCAATCTGCGAGCCTGATCTCACCAAAACAATATTTGAGTTTTTGGCCTGCAGTCTTTGTTACTGGCTGAAAAGAGAGGACGGGAAAGAAAAAAATGAAAAAAAAAATAAAAGAAAATAAAGAAAGCATACAAAGAACAGAGCACAAAGTGATGTCAAAGCAAGGCAGTGGCCCACACAAGACAGCCTTGTCA